GAAGGGGCAGGACTGTGAGGTGTCAGCACAAGCCCTTCCTGCTGTTTGATTCCCGCCTCTGCTGCTGTTTCAGAACATGTATAGCCAGGACCGGCACGCTGACGTCCTCAATCTCTGTGTCGCCCAGTTTGAGCCAGATTCCGCGGAGTATATCAAAGTGAGTACACTGCATAGTTCCTGATGTGCAAACTAAGGATTGGTGTGGGTGGGATTTTAACCTGGCACACTGAACTCGGCTGTATGTTTTGATGAGGGGAGAAAGGAAGTGTTCAAGCATCTTCTCGTGTCTGATATTTACCAGGTAACTAATTCATCTTCATGCCATCCTTGAGTTAAGGTTGAGAGAACTTCCACTCAGAAGACTAAGTAGCTTGCTGAAAGTTGCATCTAGTAAGTGGTAAAACTAGCATCCAAACTTGATGTCATGCCTATAATTCATCATTAGCCAGCAAAGTTAGTTACTGAAATTTGTGCAACTGTAGCATTAAGAAGTAATCGTGTAGCACCTTCTGTTGTAAGGTATTCTGTGAGCATCAGGGCACTGAGCCGAAGTGGAGAGGGTGTGCCTGGGCCAAAGGCTGCTGTTCTGAGATGACTAGGGAAGGGTGCTGGAGAAGCCTTAGGCACTCGGGGATCACACAGTGCTTGCAGAAAGTCCTTCATAGTGACCCTCTGCCACACTGAGGAGTCTGTACTCCAGCCAGGCAGCCTGTAGAACGTAGGACTGTTTCATCAGTCATTTGGGGAGGGCAGTCTGGAAGGAGATCTGAAGGATGGACTAAGGGTGTTGATGGGATGGGGATGGGCGGGGCCCCCGAAAGAATAGTCCAATTTCCTTTTCCCCCTAGAGACCAAAAAATGGTGCTCCGGTATTTCAGTCTCTGCTTATGTAATAGGTGCTTCCTAGTCCTTGGCCGCAGAAATGGAATTGATCTGGCCATTAGTGTTTGGCAGAATTGTTAAGGGCAGGACAGCAAATTGCTGGTCTTATTTGTAATTGTTAGCAGGCTGATGAGAGTGGAGACAGGTAAGAGGCAGATCTGATTTCACTCATACTTTGTTGAGCAGCACTCTCCATGAGAAATGTCTTCAGTAATTCTGCTTCAGAGTTTCACGTTTCTGAAAAATGGCGTTTTCTGTGGACAGTTTCATCATCAGACCTACGAAGATATAGATAAACATGGAAAGTATGACCTATTACGTTCAACAAGACACTTTGGTGGAATGGCGTGGTATCTTGTAAATAAGAAAAGGATTGACGGTTTACTGATTGACCAGATCCAGCGAGATCTGTAAGTACAATGTTAGTGAAAGGATAATTCTTATTACCCTCACAGTGTGTGTGCGCATGTGTACGCGCGCGCGTGCGTGTGTGTGGCCCCGGGGACCCCTCACAGCCTTCTCCGCCAACCAAGCCAGCACTGGATTTTTCCTGTTCGTCAACCCCCCACAGAATGTCCTTGTTGATGCAAAGGTCTGAACTACAGTGATTATGGCCACCCGGACTGTCAGGAGTTCTGACTCAGTGCCCTCCCTGCAGACTGAACTGTTCACACCTGATAAGAGATTGGGATCTAGCAGGTCCCGTGGGCACTAAACAGCCCATATGAGAGTGCCAGCTCTCACAGGAACGACGGCTGATTCCAGCCTGCCCTGTGAGCCAGCTCACAGAGCCTGAACTTACTTGCATCCCAGAGAAGCAGGGGGCTGGCTGGTGGGGACTAGCCTTTAGGTGTTAGCAGTGATACTGCCTGAAAGTCAGTTTGCCTGTAAAGTTTCTTAAATATAGTCATTCCCATACTGTTAAGAGAAATAGTAACTTTTTGGGGTTTAAAAAAATTAAAGCAACTCAGAATTATATAACTTTAAAAGTTAAAGTACATTGAGGTGTATCGTATATGCTCTCATGATTTTCATTAGTTCATTTAAGGGTGGCATCAGAAGCTGTTTGCTGGGAAGGGGGTTTGTGTTCTTCGCTTCACCTGTTCTGTATAAAAAAAACCATTCCTGGAGGAAATCTTGCTGCAAATCTCATAGTGGGCAGTAGAGGGCTTACGCTTCACTGAAACCCAGGCCAGAACTGGCATTCTGCTTGTATTTCATTCTGCTGCTGGTTTTTAATTGAGATCCTTCTAAATTCTTACTTAACATGTAAATTTACTTGCTCTTAATTTTCAGATACGAGTTAGAGGTAAAGCTAATAGTTCCCTGAGAAGCAGGCATTATACTCTCGCACAGAGGCAGAGAAACCTTAGTATGATTTTAATTGATGGAAACCTAGTTAAGATCTCTACCCGGCCAATGCCTAAGTTTTAAGGAAATTTATTTGAAGACATAGTTTGTTATTTTAATTGGGTTTTATAGATTACAACAAGCACATCGATTCACAATGAGCATTTGTGAATTGCTGGCCCTGGGAAGCTTGACTTCTGCTGCTTCCTGGGTTCTCCTGAGATTCCCTTGGGGGTGGTGTGCCTTGAGGTCAGACATTTCTCTAAGCTCCACAGGGCTTCAGAACTTCTCCCAATTCTAGTGTCAGGGAAGGTTTAGGAGTGACAGCTTTCGGGGAGCACTGAGTTAAGACACCCAACACGAAGCCAGTGACTTACTATACAGCAGAACCCCCGAAGCACAAGCATGCTGCCAGGGTCCCTGTGGGGCCACACCTGGTGGTGCTTGGGGGTCTCTCCTGGCAGGACTCCAGGAACGGTGTGATCCTGGGGAGCAAACCTGCCCTCAACCCTCGGAGCCGTCTCCCCGCCCCTCAAGGTGACGGACAAGAGGGGAGTGACTTATTGGTTTGGGAATGGCGAGGAACTTGTGTGCCCACCGAGGGGAGTTGTGTCCTTGTTGGGCTCCGGCTCCCTCGCAGGTGGTTGTGGCAGTAGCACTTCCTCCTGCCGCTGCGCTCCTGCATTTGCTGGCAGGGAGCCCACGTCTCCGGGGCCGAGGAGTCTTTCTTCAACTCTTGGGTGGCCTCTCAGAGACAGCTGGGTGACATCCTCGCTTACAAGAGGCTTAGAGTATCCCCGTGTCCAGCAGCCTCTGGCTTCTATGGGCCCAAGGGACATTCCTGCCATCTGCGGTGAGCTGTGTTATGGGGCTAGGGAATTTGCCTCCCCTGGGAAGGTCAGACAATGGCGAGCCAAGAATAAGGCCACTTTAGGTTACATTCCTTTCAGAAGCTGGGCACTCCAGTGTCCGCTCAGTTGGACGAAGCACAAAGCACCCGATTTGACTGAAAATTGCCTTCAGAAATAAAAAGGCTGATGCCCTTTAGGAATGGCTTTTTGGCCCAAGGGAAGTCTGAAGTAGGATTTGGTTGTGCGCGGTGAGCACTCCCCCACCGTGTCCCGTGGTGATAGTGAACCCTGTTGCTCTAGACTCGACGATGCCGCCAGCCTGGTGCAGCTGTACCATCTCCTCCACCCGGATGGCCGGTCGGCACAGGAGGCCAAGGCGCAGGCCGCCGAGGGCCCGCACCTGATTAAGGTAACAGCAGCCCTGGCCTAGGCGGGTCCCACTTCGCAGTTACGAAGTTGACTCTGAGTGTGTGGAACGCTGGGGAACCCTGAACATCAGCTGCTGGAACCCTGATATTCCCCAGCCGAGAGAGGAAGGATGGAGGCGGGTGGGTGGGAGCTGCAGCCGAAGGCAAGGGAGTTCAGAGAACGGCAGCAGCTGTGGCCATTTTACTAAAGCTACAGATTTGCTGTTTTTTTTCTTTAATTTCAACTAATTCTTAGAGAAATATAAGGAAAAACTATCACTATACTGTTTTGCTAGTTACAAAATAAGCGTCAAGCACTGGCACTCCTGCTGCTTGAACCCAAGCTGCTCCCACCTGTGTCTCGCTCACATGCCTGCTTGCATGTGACCGCACCTCAGTGGCTCCAGCATTTGGCAGCCTCCCCTGTAAAGGTGCAGAGTCCCAGTGAGCCAGGGAGGGGTGGCCACTGGGTGATCAGCCTGCACGGCCCCTGGCCCAGTGTTCCAGCGTGGCAGTTACCAGGCTGGCTAAGGAGACTCACTGACTTCATGTGATGCACCAATAAGCAAGGGCTTCTGAAAATAATTCTTTGAAGTGAAAAATTTAGTCGACTCTTGTTCTCCCAGTGTTTGTGTTGAAGCCAAGGGGTTTTGTTTCGCTCTATCGGGTGGTGCTGCTTTTCCTTTTAATATGAAATCAAGCTGAGTGACAGCAATTCAGGGAACTCTTAGCTGCTGGCTTTTGCTCAGAGCTATTGTGAAACTCCTCAGGATTTTTAAATGGAACTTTGCTACTACAAGAATGCTGATGTCTCAAACCTGAAAACTTTACGTATGTATGTATGTATCTATGTAACTTGACAAATTTACAACTGCCTTTTTTTCTTTTAAACAGGTCTTTGCAAAAACAGAAGCACAGAAGGGAGCATATATAGAATTAACACTGCAAACTTATCAAGAAGCATTTGTTAGTCATTCCGCAGCTTCCTGAAAATATTTTTAAAAAATAAATTCCATTTTATTAAAGCTACGGATTTGCAGTTTCTTTAAAATTTCAAATAATGCTTACGGAAATACAAGGAAAAACTATAGCTACACTGTTTTGCTAGCTACAGAAGTATATTTGAGGAACTGTTAATGAATGTCTGCAATCACATCAAACAGCATTTAAAGAAAGCATTAACACTTTCCATGTTAACAGCCAGTGCGTCTCTGAAAGCTGGGCTTTCAGACCACGTATCCAGAACCAGATCGGTACAAACGCATAAGAACCTATGCTCTACAGATGGAAGGAGACAGTGCAGTCAGAACAAGAAATAGTATTTTGAGAACTATCACATGGAGATTCAGTTCTGAGAACAACGTAGTAGTATTTCAAAATGTGATTTAGTTATACAGGGGGAAAAACATGTGGGTTGGGCCCTAGGTACACCTTAGTTCTCTTGAGTCTTCTAAAACTAGAAGCCTGTTTTCATTACTCAGAAAGTGTAAGGATCTCCATTAACTCAAAATAGTTTGAGATATGGTTTAATGACAGTATGAAAAAAAAAATCAAAGCCCACGTGTGCTTTGGTTGACAAGGAAATAGTGATTCAGAAACCGCACATGAACTTCTTCCGTGAGCACTCTGCTTCCAATGGCCCGCACTGTTTGTTCACATATAAAAACTTAAGGAGTTTCTCAAAGTCCAAAGCACTGTGGTGGGTGTGACGATCAATTACTGCCCGCAATGATCTGTTCAGTGCCTTAGTGGGATATACTACTTTCAGTCATCCAAAATATCTTCTTCATCCAAAATATCTTCATCCAGGTTGATATCTGTTGTGTCAATTTTGTCCAAGTCCAAATTAGTCAAATCTATTTCCAGTTCCAGTAAGTTCTGCAAAGCAAAGGAAGAAGGTGAGTTATCTAGTACTGTGTTAGAGGTTGTTTCATGCTACAGAGAGAACTGAAACCTAATAATCCAGTAACACCGAAACCATCTGTTTCACAGCCCTCACTCTGAAACTGAAGCCGTCACTTAAAACGTGAGGCTTGCACATCCCTGGAAATTCCTGGGTAGAGCCTGGACTTCTGATGGCAAGTGTGGCTCAGATCTCTACCTCTTCTTCTTTGTCAGCTGTGCGTGAGGACTCGGTGACGACAGGGGTGGAAGAAGCAGGTTTCTCTTCAGGTTTCTGAAAGCCCAAGTAACGGTAGTGATGAGCACGTCCCCTCCAATCAAAGTTCCCTCCAACCTTCCCCCCCCCAGCCCCCCAAAGAAGCAAAGAAGCATGGTCAGGATTAGGAAGAAGGATACTTGGGATCGAACCTCTAGGTGGTCTCGCGCTGTGTACTGACCTGTTGAGCTGCAGGCCTTGAAGGCTGAAAGCCTTTTGCCTCTTCCATGACATTTCTCTCTTCATTGGGCTACCGGAGGGAAAAAAGTCATGATGCAAGAGTCTGACCAGGTCCTACGCCAACAACAAGGGCTGGAGCACAGCTCGCTACCTTAAGACCTGGGGGAGGTGCCTTGCCCACCCCCGGCCCCTGCTGTCACGGCTGGCCTGAGCCACTCACCGTGACCAGTGGGTACTGCCTGGCAGGCAGCAGATCAGCGTGTGTCTCCTTCACCCACTCCTCCACCACAAAGGCCTCTTTCAGCCCGGGGAAGAGGTTTTCATACTCCGTTGGGTCGGCCAGGGACTCTGCCGCTTTCTGGTTCACTTTGGCAAGGCTTTCTCTCCAGAGCTTCACCACCCTGTTGGATACCAAGGGGCCAGAGGGGGAGTGAGTCCATGGGTTCTGCTTCTGGCTGAGACGTTTCTTTGTACAACTGAAACTGAAAGCCCACCTTGAAACCTGACTGGGTAAGTAAGTGCGGGCCAGGAAGGCTGCCTCAGGCAAGCGTCCAGTTCTGATCAAGAGCTCCAGGCAAGCATCAAGCCTAAGGATGAAAAAGACACCGTCACCTGGAGGAAGCACTGGACAAGTCACATTTATACACACACGAACCGTGGATTCAGTGTGGCTAAGTCAGCGTTGCTCCCCGTGCCCACACACCCACCTCATTCCTGTCACTGAGCCATTAACCTGTCATCACCCACCCGTGTGTCTCCCGATCAGTGGGAGGGAGAAGACAGCTGCAGAGAGCATTTTTAATCACCTTTGTTTGCTTTAACAACTCCCAAGAAGACTCTAATAAGGCTTTTCAGGATCAGCTAGGACTACAGACGAGCGTCTGCAGGCTGCAGGCGACCTGGGGGCAGAAGCGTTTCCTAAGTGGGGACGCTGTGCAAGGTGGCCAATGCACCTGTCCAGAGTGGTACAAGACCAGCACGCCGGGAGCAAAACACTCATTTTAAGTTCCTACTTTTTCTGTGTTGTATAAAGTGGACAGTATGTTTTAGAATTCAGGATTTTTGGTCACTTTTTAAAAGCACTATTATAATCTATCTCCAACATCTCCAGCATGAAATAATAGAAGGGTTAATATTTTGTAATAATACATTAGTACTTCTAAATGCAGTAAAAAGGCATTCCAAATGGCACAAATGCAATTCATAATAGTACTTAAGAATTAAGGTCATTTTTGCTATCAAAAATGAGTTTGTCATTTGGAATACTTTTTACAAAAAAATGCTTCATAATTTTTTTGGATTTGGGGGCTGGAGAGATAGAAAGTACAAGACATTAAGGGACTTGCCTTGCACAAGACCGACTTTGGTTCAATCCCTGGCACTGCCAGGAGTAAGCCTTGAGCACTTCTGGGTATAACCACCACCTCCCCCAACCAAAAAGAGATCTTTGGACTTTTGACTACGGATAAGGAATCACAGGCCTATCCCAAAACACACATAAACATAAAAATACATGCATTGGGATGTCTGTAGTAAAAGTTAATTTCATAATATGGTTAGGGAATGTTGATTTGGCTTATACGAGCCGCTACACTTAAAAATAGAAGTGATAGCACAGCGGGTAGGGCGTTTGCCTTGTATTTGGCCGACCTGGGTTCGATTCCTCCGTCCCTCTTGGAGAGCCCAGCAAGCTACCGAGAGTATTCCGCCCACATGACAGAGCCTGGCAAGCTCCCTGTGGCATATTCGATATGCCAGACACAGTAAGAACAAGTCTCACAATGGAGATGCTACTGGTGCCCGCTACATGCAAATCAATGAACAACAGGAGGACATTTAGTGGGATCTGAATCTACAAGAACTGGTACCCTCACTTCCCTCCTACCTGAACAAATGAGAAGAGCCCATCTGGGAAAAATCACCTGCCCTTCAGGTACCAACAGGAGCAGCTCAAGAGCTGCCTGAGCCGTAAGGTGAAAGACCTCAGGTGGGAAGTGGCAGAGCTTCGCCCCTGGCGGCTCTGGCTACCCCCACAGGCTGCATGCAGAGCACGCCCCCAAAGGTGCCCGCCAACAGCCGGGAGCAGCGAGGACTTGAGGGCTGTCTTCCTGGGGCTCGGCTCTCCCCATCCCTCAGGCAGTGGCAGACTATGCTTTTGGTTAACGCACACCCCTGTTCGGAGCCTGGCTGCACACTTACTTGCCCTGTAAAAAGTAGCTCATGAAGGCCACATTATTCTTGCCGTCCCTCTCCGCACCCTCGGCCAGCTTGTTCACCATACTGGCATTTCCGGAAGCAGTGGCCAGCAGTAGCAGACCCCCGTAGTCCTGGGCGTGGTGGAGGCACTCCTGGGCCAGGCTGAACTGACACTTACTGATGGCGAGTTCCGCGAGCTGCTTCCACTTCTGCTCTGACTGAGAAGAAGCATGGCCCAGTTAAAAGCCCTTGAAGTAAACATCTGAATTTCCAGCATCAACTTCAGTCTGTTAACCTGAGCGTTACCAGGCAGCTAATAGATATTTCTGTGTATCGAGCTACATGCCTCTTAAATTGGTTTCATCAATCAAAATAAGAACTATAAAATGAGGAAATGGAATTATTCACAAATACAAAATCAAATATACAACTTTAATGATGCATGAATAATCAACCCATCTATTTTATTTTTATTTTGTAATTATACAGCACTGAAAATAAAAGTAAAACCATCTAGGAGTTTTAAAGTAATTATACTGCAGTTATCTTAATGAGTAATTTAATATCATTTTTGAAAAGAGAACACTGTTCATGTCCATAAGTCTTTAACAAATATCTGTCAGAGCTTCTCAAAAATCAAATGTTACACAATTTGGATCTTAACATAGTTGAAATTTATCTAGACATCTGAAATGAGTTTGTCAGACTTGCTCGACTGAAATTATACTTGTGTGTCCTCAGAACCCAAAGACCCATAAAAAAATGCCATTAATCTATAAGGCCAGGATCAGGTCTGGAACACGGGCAGGTGACAGCTGTCTGCACTCTGGGACTGAGTAACTGTCTGACGTCTTCCACCTTTCCTTCTCTTCCAAGACAGAGCTCATGTAAGATATGAAACCACTAACCAATGCTCCACCATAATCCATTTGATTTACGCAGTGATCGGCATAATGCATCTTTAGAAAGAAAAAAGAGAGGAGGGAATCCTCCTTGGGAGACTCCCCATAATCTGGGAGCCTCTCTGCATTCCTGTCCCCCTCTTCCCCTTCCCTAAATAAAGCCTTTTCTGAATTCAGCCAAAAAGAGAGAGAGGGAAAAAAGGGCAATAACCTCACCAGATGAGTCCATTTCCACTTCAGAGAACTGCAGTAACACAACTTATACTCAACAGACAGAGGTATTGAAGACCTTTCTATCAGTGATGAAAACTTATACATTAGTACATACCTCTGCTTCCACTGCTAACTGGTATGCAATTTTTAGTTCTCTAAGTTGAAGAGCAAGTTCAAAGCGATGCTCAGGGTCTGTAGATACTGTAAGAGCTTGCTGTTTGAAGCCCTGAAAAGAAAAATACATATGTACCTTTAAGTGTTATGTGTGTAGGAGAGTGTAACCACATACATCTTGCTATATCATGCACACATGCACATGGCAAAGCATCCCCTTCCCTCTCAAACTAAAACCTGGCCACTGACGCCACCACACACCACCTGTGGCTCACCCTCAGTAGTGGCTTAATTACCACTAATTGCAGTGCCTGCATCAATGTGTTAAATCGAACAAAAGTGACCTAAGTAAATACGCTCTAATGAGAAGACAGAAAAATAAAAGGGTTGTTAGCTGCTAGGAACAAATCTGGTGGATACGACTGCGAACCCTGCCGTTTTCTAATGAGTACAAGATGACCAATGCCAGATAAAATTAATGAACAATCAGAAATGGGAAAACAGTGTCAGAAGGGAAAGGGTGCTGGAAAGCTTGAACAAGAAATAGAACCGGAGCTGCGAGAACAGTTTCACAAAGACCAGAGGCATGGGGCCAGGGAGGAGGCTCCTTGGACAAAGCACACGGTGTGACATGCCACGTCCCATCGCTGCTACCAGAAACCCCGTCCCAGCACCAAGAGAGGTGACCCTACAACAAACAGGCTCACGAAGCAGGGCCGCGGAGGCCACCAAGCCCAGGCCCTCGGGCTAAGTCGGGGTGAAGGCTCTCCCAGCAGCTCTAGGTCACCTGGCCCAGACACCGGGTGACATCATCTCTGACTTTATTGTTTCAGTCATCAGCAAAAGCAGGAGATGCAAAACTCAATCACCAGAAACAACCACTGTCAGTGCAAAGTAGCTGCCCCAGGGAGATGGGCAGCGCTGGGGCCAGGACTGCCCTCTCGAATGTGAGCTGCACAGGAAGTTCACATGCAGGAGCATCTTCTGCCTGGGGGAAGATGCTCAGAAGCAGAGAATTTAGACCGCTGAGTCCCATCAGTTGGATCTTCAGGAGGGCTAAAATGAGGCTTAACATGATTTAACCACACAAACTGAAATCCTGGGTATCCAAACACGCCATGGAAACACATTCTGAAGAACCTGCACTGAAGCAGACACTGAAAACCCAGGAGCGGATGGGACAGCAGAAGGTCTGGGGTCTGGTCAGGTGCAGGTGAGGGTCGAGCAGATGAAATAGAACTGCTTTCCTCCTCGGCCCACTCAGGTGACAACAAAGGCTTTCACTGTTTTTATTTAAGACAGGCAGGCATGAGACATCAGCAGCAAGATTTTGAAAGTCTGAACATCTGAGGATTATCAACAATTCATTCAAACAGCAGGGAAAACTGACCGTGAGCCAGGAATGAAGCAGGCCCCGAAGTCACCTGGTTCCCACCGAGTCCCCAGATTGCAGGGCTGTCACAAACACATGGACAAGGGCTGATGCGCATCTAAGCAGCGGTTAGAGCCCCGGGCTTCTCCACACACACAAGGACAGGCCCTGGGCCCCAGAGGGCAGCGAGGGCACCTCTCGTCAGGGGCTGCTGCAAGGAGGAGTTCTGAGCTCCAAAAGAGAAATAGGACATGAAGAGAGTGTTCACAGAGTATGGACAGTCAGCACTGGCACACAATCAGTGAGGTAACTGGGGAGCTTTCTGAACTCACCTGGCAAAGGGGAAGGAACGAACACTGACGCGTCCATGAGGTCACTGCGCCAGCCAGCACGGCATACCACACCATCAAGGGCTAGGGAAGCCCTATCAATGAACAGATAACATGCCACGACCCGTGCTGTGCTCGCCACCCGCCAGGGCTGACCCCAGACTCCACGACTTCATCTCAGATGCCCTCGTGAGGGAGTGTCCATGTGAGGAAAGTCTAGTAGCCAGACCAAGCTCTAAATCAATCAGCCACAGCAATGAAGGAAGCGGAGCAGGTAGGAATAAAAGATCTTCATAATGAAAACAGAAAACTACTGTCCATATCCTGGGGACACTCAGATCCTACGAGGAACTTAAGAACAAAAATGAGAAAACCAGTGCACGAGGTTCAACTATGAAGAACATTTCCACAATGAGAATATATGAAAAAACAGAGGTAGGAAATCATCCGGGATGATTCAGGAAAATCTCTCAGAAGTCAGTGGCCAATTAAAATAGCTCATCCTATATCCAGAGGTATGAAAAACAACTGGCCCCTACCAGGATCCATATCAGGATGACATTTCAGAACAAAGAAGATCCAAAAAAAATATTGAAAGGAAAAAACCGATTGGGCACCATGAATCTCAACGTAAGTCTTTAAATGTCAACAGCAATTAGAAGTTAGAATAGAGCAATGCCTTAAAAACAGAAAGAAAATTAGCTCCAGCCTAGTTTTCTATACCTGCTGAGCCAGCTATATTTTGAAGGTATTAGAGGGGCATATTCAGATAATCAAAGTCATGAAAAATTTCCTATCCATAAATAGCCCTCTTCTCTGAAAACTATGAAAGGAAACACTCCAGTCAAACAAGGGGCTAATCCAGAAAAGAAGCTATGGGGTTAAAGCAAACAATGGCTCCACCCAGAGAGGGCCAGAGATGCCCAACACGGATGCCGAGGGGATGGCTATCCAGGGTGAGAAGCTGAGGCAGACTCAACACACTGCAAGGAATTTTCAAGAAAGGCTGGAGAAATAAAAGACAAATGAACCAAGAATAGTTTGGGGGAAAAGGCAACCGATTCCTTTACGCACGCTCTGTGAAAAGACTCAATTACTATGTTGGAGGAGAGATCGTCACCATCACCCAGGAAGCCCCAAAACACAGAATGACCTCACTCAAAAGGAAAACCACATCAACCCCTTCTTACCTGCTTTTCCAGGAAGTGTGCCACCCGGGTCCTTTGCTCCTTGGGGATGGTGGGCAGGACCTTGTCGGCCATGCTGAAGTCCCGCCGCATCACGGCCGTCTGGTACTCCAGCACAGACACTAGCAGCGAGTAGCTGACGATGTTCAGTTCTTTGTCCCCCAGGTACAGCCTGTTGTCTTTAGGGATATAGCCCAGCAGATACATTGTCCTGCAGGAGAGAAAGCACCCAGCTTCGGAGATGGGCGCACAGGCGCTCGCTCGCCCCCTCCCTCCCTCCCATCCCTGCCCTCCTCAAGGCTTGCTCTCGCCTCTGGATTGAACATTTGTGTCCACCTGGCTGATGTGATCTGGAGGGCAGGTGAGAAGCTATGAAAACACCAAACAGCAGGGGCACCATTGCCACTTGGCCAGTAACAGGTTTGGCTTTCTAAGCGCACCCTTACGTACAGGGTACTGAAGGCAAAAGCACACTGATACCCAAGCTACCTGTCCAGGTGGGCGATGGTGACGATCTCCCCTCCGACGTAGTAATTGAGTCTGTTCACGGAGCTTGTGTAAATAAAGCAGTCGCCTACCCACAGGCCCGTTTTCACAATCTCCTGAATCTCGCCGAGAACCTGCAGCAGGAAAATAAAGACCAACGGCTGCCTCATTCTGCATCAGAAATCCTGTCGGTAACAGAAACCCGAAGTCAGCTGGGGTGACATGGAAGAGCAGAGAACGCAGAGTGAAAGCCAGTGCACAGTGCAAGGCAACGTCCAAGAAAGAACATCTTTCCGTGGAACTTCTGCCTTTATTTTTCATTTAAAAGCATATTCCTGGGTTATTTGGAATAGCAAATGTCACCATTATGCCAAAAATGTCATTTAAGTGCTAAGCGTCATGCCTAATGGATAGATGTGTTTTATTTAGTCTTCCTGAGCAGCCCACTGCTGATTTATCTTCCCCATCTGAGACCTGAAAGCAAGTCATTCAGGCACAACACTTAAATCTCCTTACTAAGAGTTACCCAAAGAAGTCTATGTACAGACTTCCCACACCAAAGGCACACAATTTCTTTTCAACACAAATACTTTTAGACTCCAGTCTCTGAGCCAAGTTTTCCATGGTCACGTTTCACTGGAACTCCTTAAATTCTGTGTTTTCCCAACGCCAACTGCTGATGTGAATAGGGGTGAAGTGCTGCGATGCGCATATCATCATTTAAGCACAAAGGGAAACTCACGCTGCTGCAATTACCTCAAAGGCATCTTCAATGCCATCTTCCGTGACTCCCTCGTGGCTTTCCTGTGCCGCCAAGACTTTCTCCGACAGATACTTAAGGATAAAAAATGACTCCTCGGTGGCAATACAGACCAGCTCTCCAGAGTCCGACCAGAAAATCTGCAACATGACAAACAAAAACAGAGACAAATGATTCTGGGTTTCTGAGCGGCTCTGACAAACTGCACTTGGCTTTGTTCCTTAGAAGATTTATCTTCTTATATTAAGATGATCAGTATCACTTAACAGACCTGTGCAGTGCATATATGCCTGCATTTGGGGAGGGGTGGGGCGGGGCTGGAAATGGAGAGCCCCAGCTAGGGAGCAAGGAAGGCGAGTTGTGAGTTACACACGGACTGGCACTCAGAGCAGCCGCCTGGTCCCCACCACTCTCGGTGTTTCTCCAAGTCTGTATTGTCTCTTGTGACCCCCCCCTGTGGAATTTTAATGCCAGAGATACTAAGTCTGCACATTTATACTGCATATACACACGCTGGGTGGACCTATACATGTCCTGAGTATGGTGAAGAATTATCCATGCTTCACACGAACGCCGATGGTTCTGCACCTCTCAGGAAGCAGTTTTTGCTCTGTGAAGTGCTCTATGTCCTCAGTGAGAAGACACATTTTAGAAAACAGAACCAGGAACACAAGAAAGGTGGGCCCCTCTCCAAACAGGATTTCCCGACGGTGAGAGTTATAATGCAGCAGGCAGCTCTAATGATAGGAAACTCTGCCACTAGTACTGGTTTCAACAGCCAGCAGCAGGCAGGGTACGAAAAGCATCTGAGCGCAGACAACTTCTCAGGCCCTGCCAAGCCAAGAGTTCTCTGACTTCTTTCTTCCATTTTGAAGTCTTTTATTCTTTTGTTGCAGACAAAAGTCATTTCAAAATGAATAGCATTTGTATAAAAGCATTTGTATAAAGTTTGTAGGAATTTTTAAACTATTCAAAATGCTCATCTACCATCTCACTCAAATAGTGCAATTCTGTCGAAACAATCCCAAGGTACATGGCACCAGGTCTAACTCCATGGAGCCAGCGCTCTCACCAGCACACAAACGTTCCAGTAATAACGGAAGACACTCACATGTTTGGGCTGAATTTCAATCCTGCGTATGAGTTCTGTATTGTCCCAGTCATAGAAGGCTAAGCCATTCACAGATCTGACTCCCAACAAGAAGCCTCCATAGATACCTACAGAGAACCAAAGAGAGTTCGAATAAGATGCTCTGAACCATTACACAATTTTAAATATGTGTGTGTAGAAAGAGCACTCACTTTCTGCTCCGAAATCAGGTTTAAATGATTTTTTTTCCTTGAAGTTCTTAAAAATTTTTACCACACTGCTGCTCTCTCTAATTGCATATCTGGGGGTCAAAAAAAGAAGGAAAAACTAGCACATTAGATACCAAATCATAACTAAACATCAAGTTACAAATATTTCCAAATACATTTCAGTAGCGAATTATGCAAAAATATCTTATTTGACAGTTCAGTATTTTTCCCCCAAAGCCTCTGTGAGCACCTTACAGCTAGACAAATAATGAATGGTGCTGATAGCACTACACAAATTACTTGGGCTTACAAACTATTTTAAGAACTAAAAAGCAAAAACAAATCCAAAACAAAAGCAAAGAAAAAAACCTAAGAAGGACTGAAGGACCGAAAGTCTACCAATGCCTAACTTAAATGATTATATCAACTGATATATTCATACAAAAGAATACCATTGGGTAAGAAACAGAACTAAATAAGGATGAATCTCAAAAACACTATGTAGGGCAGAAGAGGCCAGAATTAATAGCCTATGATGAAAGTAAAGACGCTGACTTCAACATGGTGGTAAGAGATTCACATTTTGTAGGAGCCAGAGTAGGGGCAAGACTGCTGGAAGCTGGGGGGGTGGGGAGGTGATAAGCGCTTCAATATTCCACCTGAGCAGGTGGGCAGGGATTGTATACACCTGTCCAGATTCATTAAATACATACTCAAAAGAGAGCACTTATTTTGCATAAATCAGCTCTCAATAAATGTGACTTTAAAGTAAAACCTTTTGGGGGCACAGCGGGTAGGGTGTTTGCCTTGCATGCGGCCAACCCGGGTTCGATTCCCAGCATCCCATATGGTCCCCTGAGCACTGCCAGGAGTAATTCCTTTGAATGCAGAGCCAAGAGTAACCCCAGTGCATCGCCGAGTGTGACCCAAAAAGAAAAAAAAAAGTAAAACCTTTTGAAAGTGACTCACTCATAAACCCCACTAGGCAACAACTTAGGGGACCGGGTCTGACCAGGCCTTGATGATAAGGGTTGTGGCTGCCGCTGGGCCTGAGAACATCCGAGAAACTGACCTGACAGGGGTTTTGCTCTAAAGGACACTGAAAAGGTCCTAGCTGGGCAAGCAGGAGAGGGTGCCAGCAGAGAGGGACAGGGACAATGAAGGGGTGAGGCTGCTCATGAGCCAGAACACTGCGTGGATGACGAGAGAACCTTTACAAGCGCCCACCACAGTGGGCGATAACGGGGGAAGCAGAGGCAGGGCGCAGGGTCCCCTGGATGAGGCAGAAGGGCAATAGGGTGCTCGGAGCCCCGGGTGGAGGGGCGCTTTCTGTTTGCTCCTTGAAAGAAGGTAGATTTTGGGGTTCTGAGTAAATAGTTCAGAAAATGGGGCCCCGAGGCCAAGTATGTTATAAGCCCAACATCTTATAAAACACTGAGAATCTAGTAGCCACTGCTGAGAGTAGGACAAAACATGGGTAATACTAAGAAAATTGTAAATATGTTTCTTGGTTTTGGGGTTGGGTCACACCTGGTGATGTTCAGTGTTAGGGGACATGCGGGGTGCTGGAGATCAAACTGGGATTGGCCACATACAGGGCAAGCGCCTTAACCCCTGTACTACCTTTGTAGTCTGCCTACACGCGAATATGCAATTCAATGTGTGATCTGAAAAAGATCAAAGCCCTGATGCATATTACCCACAACAAGATGGAATTTAAAGAAGGAGCCAGATGGAAATCAGTTATTAATTCTAGCTAAAAAATTTCTCCTGTTTTTATGAGACTATTTGATAAACATTATGAATTTTAACAGAAACTGTCTTTGTAAGAACACTGATGAATACTGGGTGGAAAACAAATTCGTTTCTTCCCTGGGGCAAGGAGAGGGGTTGAGGACACCCGCTAACGCCAGGGGCTACTCCTGGTTGTGTACAGGGGGATTCATCTGCAGGGCACAACGGGGGTTGGCCGCACAGCTCCCGGACTATCTCTCTGGCCCCAGAAAATATAGTTTTAAAGACTCCATAAATTTCTCAGCAAGATGTCATCAGAAACAGTGGCTCTCCCAGCGGATGATGAAGGGGCAGCAGTCTCCACAAGGCCAGGTCACAGGAAGAGCCTCTCAGGGACATGACTTGGGATGTGCTTAGCCCTGAGTCCCTCAGCACTAGGGCTGGCCCCAGGGTTCATCAAGGAAACAGCAAGACTGCCCTGCCTGCCTAGGCGAGCCAGCTCAAGACTGGACAGAGAGGGCACAGACAGCAGCTCTGCTTCTCGTCTCCTCGCCAGCAGCTCCCCTGGGAACTGCCCTGACCACAGAGAAGCAGTCCAGGTTGAACCCCCCGACCGAGCTTCCGAACACGGGAGCACACAACTGTGCCTCAGCAATTGGGGCCGGCAAGAATCGCAGGCAGCACCTGCCACTTACTCAGAAGAATCGTGGGCCCAGGCAAACTCCTGGGCAGACCCGAAGCTCTTGTTTCTCAATGCCATGGCCGTGTAGATGATATACTCGCCATCACCACACACCACGACAAACCTGGAAATCCCAGCCGCCAGGGAGGGAAGAACAGAGAAACCAATGACATGGGCAAGCTAAGAAGCAAAGGGTCATCTTCATGGTAAAATGCTCCAAGTAACAAACGTTATTTCAGCTGACTGTCGGAAGTTTTATCTTTCAGTTATACATTTCTTTGACTACAGAGCTAGACATAAATATTCCACCCCACGGTCCTTAGGCCAATAAATTCCTCTAGCATTTGTTGGGCGCCAAGACCTCCAGTCCTTTACTTATTTTCACCACCAGAAGGCACAGCTTGCTGCAAAATTATCTTCATTTAAAAACTGGCCATTCAAATGATTAATAGCTTATCCTCATTTTTAATGACTGTTCCTTATATAATAATGAGCAAACACAGAATGCAGCAAAGCCACATTTTCTCAACATAAAACTCTCTTTTAAGTTCTAATTTAGAATGCTGTGATTGGCTGTTATTACATTTGCCTAAGGGAAAAATGCAAAACTTGGAGGGAAATGTTTTATTATGATATTAAGGAAAAAATATAAAGCTAATATACTCTTATATAATGAACTCTTAGCTTCATGAGAACATTATATTACAAATAGTTACAGACACTATTTACTGAACAAAGCACAGACTTGGTTTGTATACTTTGTCTCTTTCAAAACTTAGGGCAGCATTATAAAATGCCCAGATCAAATGTAAATAACGCTTAAAGCTTAATAGTTTGTTAAGATTCATTATGTGTAAAACTCTTCTCTCACACAGATGCTTGGTACATGCAAAATCTTAAAAGAAAAATGAACTGACGGTTCACATTATAGATAAGAAGCCAAATTACTACTAACTCCAGAGGACTCACACCCTCAGGGTCAGTGTTTGCTAAAAGCAAGGGGTCCGCAAGTATTTAGGAAGCCCTGACCACTAAGCCTTCGGGTAAGGAAAGATCCTTTGCTCAGAGGAGCCTTAGGACACACACTCACAGAAAAGGTGAATTAAAAAAAAAAAAAAGAAAAAATCAAAATTTCTGTGGCTGCCCACAGCTGTGTGGGGTGACTGAAAGCCCGGGCACATGAGCAGAGGGTGGGGGTGGATGCACACACACGTACACACACACACACACACACACAGATACATGCGTACACACACGTACAAACATATGCGTACACGCGCATACACATACACATGCACACACGCACTCTGAGGTTCCAGAGATGACGAGGCAATGGCTTACCGCCCGTTTGGATTGTGCTGGATAGTCTGAGGGTATATTTCACAACTACCCATGTCCTTCACGGCCAGTGGCAGTCTCTCCCCATCTTTAATCTCAGCGTCGCCCATTGCTTTCAGGTTGGCCTGCTGGACCTCAGAATGTTTGGCCCAAATGATCTTCCCATTGGCATCCATGGACATAGCAGGCTCTTCCCGACCAAGCTGGAGGAATGACAAACGGGCTCTTAGTAACAGAAACTGAAGCACAATGAAACAAACAAGGCCTATTTTAACGGGGGCTGTGTTCATTTAGCAGGGGGCTACTTCTTCTTCAGGGCTCAATGTAAGAAGCACACTTTAATTACAGCTGAAGACTTGAAACATGCCTCACTACAAGTAAAGACCTTGGCCTACAGCCAGCAAGCCAGAGAGGAGTCTAGCTGAAGAGTACCTTCACGATGATGCTCCCTTCATCATAGCCCAGAGCAACATTGTTGGACCCCCGCAGACTGGCCACACACCACACCCTCTCCATCCCGTAGTTCAGCGTGCTCTCCAGGCGGTATGTGCTGGCATGCCAGATGCGCACAGTTCCTGCGAAGAACAGAATGGATACCGCCTCACCAATCGGAACACCAACAGAAAGTGTGCCAGGTGAGCCAGCCACACGAAATCTTTATAGATTCAAACAAGAAACACTTCCTGGCTTAATTAAAAAAAAAAAAAGTCCATAAGTAAAATTACAAAGCAATGGAAGTTAATGATATTAAAATCTGTAAGAAACTAAAATAGAGAAATATGATTCTAAACATGGAAGAGGAATAGGATTTTCTAGGTTCGGTGCCTCTGTGCCTCAGATATAAGACTTTCTCTCATCCTTTTGCTAAAATCCTAGGGGGTCAGGAGGTATGCATGTTCCCAATTCATCATTTTCCCAAAGCACAAGATCCGCGAAGTGGCCAAGTAATAGAGTGACCCTAGACAGAAGACTCCAAAGCACAGGCTCTTCCAGTTATTCATTAGGACTCCTGGATGTAAGAGTCAAAAGATACCAGAATGATCAAGCTGATGGTATCCCTTTATTCTTTCTTTTTTTTTTTTTTTTTGATCACACCTAGCAATGCTCACGGGTTGCTCCTGGCTCTGCACTTAGGAATTACTCCTGACGGTGCTTGGGGGACCATATGGGATGCTGGGGATTGAACCCAGGTCAGCCGCGCGCAAGGTAAACGCCCTACCCACTGTACTATCACTCCGGCCCTCTCCCTTTATTCTTTACAGCTAATGTTATCTGAAGAAGATAGCAGAATTGGGCCGGAGAGATGGTACACCTTGACTTGCACACACCAACCAGATTCAATCCCTAGCATCTCAGATGGTCCATGAACACCATGAGGAGTGATTCCACATTACAGAGCCAAGAGTAAGCCCTGAGTATTGCTGGGTGTGACAGACAGACAGACACAGACACAATCAGTATCACTGGAAACCCCCATTTCCAAGCAAAGCACTACCTGGCTTTGTAACCCCTGTAGTAACTATAAGCAAAGAAATAAAACACACATCTCTAACTTACCGTCTTCTGAGCCTGTGATGATGATCGGCAATTCAGGATGGAAACTGGCGCAGGACACGTTCTGGGCATGCCCCTCCAGTGTCTGCACACATGTTTTGTTCTGTGATCAAGACATAAAAAGCACGTTTTATTAATGAGAGAAAAGCACTCAGCCTTTCTTTTCCATACAGAGATAAAGTTGTTGTAATAGTCATTAGAACACTCTAAATAAATTTCAATACAGAAAATCTTCAAATAGAATTATCATGGCACAGATTTTGACTACTTGAGAACCAGACAATGCAGATGATCACACCTAAAGAAAATAACAAGCCCATCTTAAAAGATCTGGTTTCCATTAGAATATTTTCACCAAAAATTAATAAACATCTTCAATAATTTTATTCTGCATTTAAATGTGAACTTGAATTAAGTTTCTATGTAAAACGAGCTTTCTATGCCTTGTTTTTAAAGTGCATGTGAAAATTTTGAAAGGACAATGAAACAAAATTTAACAAAATCTTGTACCTAAAAAAAGCAAAGCAACAAAAAGCATATCTTGTTTTTCTGAGAGTCTACATGACAAATGCTTGTACCATGGCTATGCCAGAGGACATTATTCATTGATTTGCTAGCTTTCAAATAGAAACAAGTCTGCTAATAGAGACACTAGAAGATATAAGAATTCATTCTAAATAAAATATTGAAAGTTTATAATTTCTCCTGTGAAGTGAAATGTAGACGTGTCAGCATTTTACCGTGATATACTATTCAAGCATCTGTTTTCTTTCATTTGTGGAAGCACAGTGAGCAGAGCTCGGGGACAGCCGGTGGCGTGAGGCACAGAGCCTTCAGAGCTTGCTCGGGCCCTTCATTTCATTGTTATGGAGTATCTGGGTCCACAGTTTAGGTGCAAATACTAAAGCCTTTAGTTACAATGCAGTGAGCAAAATTCAACAGGAGACAGTAAAAAGTCTCTAACAAAGGCAGGTTCTGAAAGATCTGTACCTGATAATCCCATATTTTGACAAGACGGTCATCTGCCCCTGAGATGAGGTATGGCTTGTCACCACCACTGTAGTAATCGATGCAATTCACGCCTTTCTCATGTCCCTCTAGCGTGAAGTTCGGGGAGGATGAGCCCAGCTGCCACACCTTCAAGGAAGCACAGCACCTTCTGGTCAGGGGCAGCTCGGCCATGCCCACACAACCACCCCGTCCAAGACAGAAGTCAATGAACGTTCACTCTTTTTACCCACATTTTTGTTCTTTCTTCATTACTTGAAAACTTGTTTTAAACAGACACCCAAAGTAACATAAGGTGACATTGTGAGAAATGCTATCTTAAGGTAGTAAATGCTTTTATGAGAAACTTAACATAAACCTAATGCAAGCAGACTGAGTGAGATGAGAAGGAGAAAAACATGGAAATGCAGTCAGACGTTGTTATAGCCTGGTGGTAAACTTTATAAATAGTCACTGGATGCTTATTACAAAGGAGGTCATTGGTGAGCACAGAGATGTATAAATAAACATTTTACCAATTACAGTACATGGCCAACTTTACTCTGGAATACAAACACCTGTTCAGATGCAGCTTTTAATAATTCAGGCATATAGCTTTTTAATGCGAAGGAAGTACTAATAAAAATATATGATGTAAGCATACATGTGGAGGCAAAGTTAATACAATAATCAAGTTTAAATACTGCAATATACAGTGCATCTGTACCTAGTAATATATACATCTATACAAGTACTGTAGTTAAAAAAAAAAAGAAACGGGCATGATTATATGCACTGTAACACGCATCAGACAGCAAACATGGCTACAGAGTTAAGGGGAAAAGGACGAAACATCAAACTTTGGGGGTATAAATGTGGACAGTCCTTGGTTCTTATTTAATGTAAGGTGATCACAGAAGCAAAAAGCTGTGGATGGAAAGGAAGGAGGATGACAAGCTTTGTCTAGAAGTGAAAGGAGTATCTGCAGAGTGTCTCAGAGCAAATCATGGTGCCCGGAAAGATGAGGGAAAGACACCAAAAGGGAAAACAAAATTCTGGAGGAGAAGGAGAGGGAGTGCTGAGTGAGGTAAGGTGTGTGGCCACTGGCAGCTCGAGAGAAGGTGACTTGAACAGGGTGGCAGGAAAGGGCTCATGACTGCCGGAGCTGCTCTGGGGAACCTGAGTGTGTCACACCAAGAACTTTGGACTTTATCCTTAGATCAGAAGCTGACAGACAAAATTCAAATTTATAACAATAACAGAAACATCACAGGGGAAAGAAGAAAAAGAATGGAGGCATGCAAACATATTCATAATCAGCAGAGGTCAACAGTATACTCAGAGAGAGAAAGTAAGAGTAACTCAGAGAAGATACTGGCATCTTCCTTACCCCAGGTCCACGGAGGCGTGTACAATTTTCTTCCATTTGGACAAAGACTCACATTCATTAAAAGCACGAAAATGCCAAAGTATTTTCCTTTGGTTAGTTTTCTGGTTTCTTTTGTTTGGGAGGGTCATACCCAGCTATGCTTAGAGTTTAATTCTGGCTCTGCGAATCACTCATGGTGATGCTCAGGGGACATATGGGATGTCAGGGATCAAACCTGGTTGGCCACATGCAAGGCAAATGCCCTACTCTCTATACTCTCACTCCAGCCCTTGCCACAGTATATCTCTAAATAGAATACAACAGAATACTAGAGCAGCCACCAGAAAATGAAGTAATGAAATTCGCTTATAAGTGGACATGGAGAGTATCATGCTGAGCAAAATGAGTCAGAGAGAGAGGGACAGACATAGAATGAAAGCACAGTATGAGACTGACACCCAAGATCAGCAGAAACAAGGGCCAGGAGGACGGGTCCATGACTGGAAGCTTACCACAAATGGTGGTGGGGGGATAGGGGGTGGGGTGGGGGGGGCAGGGATGCTTTAGGATAGAGAAGAGATCACTATAACAAGAATAGTTGGGAATGATCACTCTGGACAAGAACTGTATACTAAAAGTGGTAAAGGGACAAGCATAATAATCTTTCAATACCTGTAGTAGTACAAACCATAATGCCAAAAGGAAAGAGAAAGAGAAAAAAAAGTGCCTGTCACAGAGACAGGCTGGGGTGGGAGACAGGGGGGCAGGAGGGAAACTGGGGACACTGGTGGTGGGAAATGAACACTGGTGAAGGGATGGGTGCTGAAGCACAGTATAACTGAAACCCAATCACGAACAACTTTGTAACTGTGTATCTCTTAGTGATTCAATAGAATAAATAAATAAATAGAATATGCCCCCAGTCAAAATAGAAAGCTCTGGTATGACTACAAAATGAGCTTCACAGAGAGACTTCCAAAACAGGAATAATCTGGACGACCAATTGTAAGATATCTGAAATGAGTGCACTTCACCAATAACCATGACAGACACGAAGAGCAGACACCCTACCTTGATGGTCCTGTCCAAAGATGCACTGGCAAACTGATTATTGTCTTTGGGGTTGATAACAATCTGCATGACGTAATGGGTGTGTCCTTCAAACACTTGCGAGCAAGACCATTTTTTATCCCAGTCCCAGAGTTTAATAAGCATGTCATCTAGGTCAAAGGAAAATCTCAAAGTTAATCAAAACGTTAAATTCTTTTACACAGAAGTAAAATGAAGGGTCTCTGTGCCTACAGGCAGCCAATGCACCTCAAACTTACATTCCAGAACACAAAAATAGAATCAGATGAACAGATTTTTCCAAATCCTCCTTCTAATAATAACTTTCTAGAGAAGACTAGAGGCAAAAGAGGAAATTTACTGATGGCAACTATAAACATTTCATAAGAGAATTTAAGAAAGACTCAGTGGGGTTTTCAGCATGAGTAATGCAGGTCTGATTAGAGTTCAACTGCGAATGATGGCAATGACCAGGAAATAAACACTTGCTCTTATAACACAGACTGTTTTTTTTTTAAAAAAGGCTGTGAATTACTTTTCAATGTTTAACTTAGAAATGTTTCAAGAAGGGCTGGAAGGGGCCAGAGAGATAGTACAGTGAGTAGGGCATTTGCCTTGCATGCGGCTGACTTGGCTTTGATCCCTGGCACTTCATATGGTCCCTCAAGTCCACCAGCAGTAATCCTTACACACAGAACTAGGAGTAAGCCCTAAACTAAACACCATGTGTGGCTCCAAAACCAAAAAAAAAAAAAAAAGAGAGAGAGAGACTAGAATGTGGGTCAAGTGGTGAAGCACAAAGCCTGCAAGTGTGTGGCCCTGGGTTCAATCCCCATACCAAATGGACAGCTTGCACTTCCGGGGGTGGCACCCCAACAATTCAAAAACAATCCAAGCGCCACTGCCAATTCAATGAACTTGTTTTAATTGCCCTCTAGGAGGTGCACTGTTTGATACACCAGACCAGAAGCTAACTAGTTTGAATACAAAGATTCGATTAGGCTCTGTGGCAATTCTCCAGTTGCTCCCTCATCAGCATGTACATTAGCATTCTGTTGCGCAGATGGTTAAGCATCTAGACCTTCAGATCTTCCCTGACAGGAACTGGAGCGACTGCCACACAAACCCTAAGCAGAGTTGGTATTTCATTAAAATACAATGGCAAGCAGCACGAATAGCATGTTAATGGAGTTGAATAGTTTAAAGGTGCCTTGGAATTAGAACTCTACTCATAACAGAGGCTAAAAGTACTGCATGTCTCACTAAATGAAAATGATTACTTGGGAGATACATCACCAAAAGGGATCATCTCTTACCACTGCTAGTTAGAATAAAAGGCTGCGTTGGGTGAACAGCGATACAGCGGATGTAGTCCGAGTGTGCTTCAAACATATGGACTCTCTCCAGAGTATTGTAGTTGAACACTCTGATCTGCATGTCATCCTGGAAACAGACACCCCAAAATCATCAGAACTGATATGCGCGAAAGGTATTTATAGGCTCAAGGCATAAATCCGTACTTCAAAACACTGCACTCATTAACAGAGGAAATGCAGAATAAAAATACTGCGACTCATTTACATAATCACCAGCCAATTCCAAAAACAAAGTCAAACAGTTGCTTACCGCTCCGGTCACAACCCAATTCTTCCTCGCCACAAACTTCGCAGCGCGAACAGGAAGGTCACACACTTCAAATGTTTTCACCAGTGTCTTTAAAATTTAAGAATATATAGTTTGAGTTATGGAAAATTACCAAATATCAACTCTGATATACCTAAAACATGCAGTTATGGAGGTCCCCATTTCTCAGCCTTTTCCTAACCGTGGCCGACCCCCAAGCTTGTTTCCATCTTGGGACGTCTCCCACCCCTTAGAGGCTGGCCCCTAGTCTTGTGCGGTGGCTCCCCAATAATTTGACAGAAACACAGGCTCATATGGTCCCATGCTGAGAAGCACTGATTTAAATCACTTGTACAATTATATCCTTAAGCTACAATATGAAAGCTTAATACATAAATAGAAAAACCTATAGTTCACCTTTTGTTCAACAGACAGAAAGTTAAGATACTCATGTGAAAGTAAACGCTCACAAGATGAATTCCCAGATCCTCAGCACTCTGGCCCTTCCCTATGCCAGCCTCACTATTTTTTTTTTAATTTTTTTTTTTGTTTGTTTTTTGGATCACACCTGGTGATGCACAGAGGTTACTCCTGGCTGTGCACTCAGGAGTTACTCCTGGCGGTGCTCAGGGGACCATATGGGATGCTGGGAATCGAACCTGGGTTGGCCGCGTGCAAGGCAAACGCCCTACCCGCTGTGCTATCTCTCCAGCCCCAGCAGCCTCACTATTTTTAGCTATTCTTGGACTTGTATCTATCTGCTGCTCTCACTTCCCTCCAAAACGACCTAAAAGAACCTTATAAAACAACAACAACAAAAAGAAAAAACAGAAAGAAAGACAAAAATTATCCATGAAATAGCTATGAATCAGAGAGCCCCAGAGGAGGACAATGAGGCAGATGACACTGAAGAAAGAAAGAGAAAGGCAGGTAAGGGGATGATCATGTGAAGCAGCTGTGCGAACACAGAGAAAGGCAAGGGAAGCATGCAGCTTTAAGCCACGACACTGAAATGACAGAACTGAGGATGGTTACACAGAAACAGAAGAAGGGATGGCCTAGGAGACATAAGGAAGCATGGGGGCACTATGTGTTAAATGCAAAATCAGAAATGACTGAAACATCTGAATGAAGAGGAAGACCAAAGGAGGAGGAAACTGTCTCAAGGCCAAAGGAATGTTCAAGATAAAGATGTGAAATTGCAGAGGGCAAAAACCCTGAAGTGGGGCTGGAGCGATAGTTTAGCGAGTAGGGTACTGTTTTGTACATGGCTGACTTGGGTTCTATCCCTGGCATCCCATATGGTCCTCTGAGCACTGCCAGGAATAATCACTGAGCACAGGTATGACCCAAAAGTAAAAAAAAAAAAAAAACCTGAAGCGGCAATACTGTAATAAATGGTGTATCTGTTATTCATTAGATCAACAATCACTGAAAACTTATTATATATGTTAAGCTATGTATGGCACAGGTGCTGGGTGCAGTGGAGAACAAGTGTTCACCAGTACAAAATGCCACTAAGTGTGTATTTGTAATAATATCATTATAGTGATTTAAGAGGAAATTATTTTTAGGCCTTAGTTTCCTCACCATATTCAAGTTATCTGAAATTTTTCCAATGTAAACTTAATCTGGAGTTTAAGAATTTAACCTAGTATGCTGGGTTGAATTGTAATTCAACTTAGCATTATAATTACTGTATAAGTAGACACATTAGCTGATTATATGTTCTGTACTTTAAAAGAAAAAGACTGGCCAAGAAAAACTAATATGAGATATTTATTCAGATAAAAGAGAACCAAACAAATATTAAGGCAAATAATCTATAAAATGCATATTCTCCTATGTGAAATCAATGCTATCTACAAATACTTCCCTGATATAATCTATACTTAGTAAGGCTGACTGAAAGCTATACACACATAAATATTAATTCCTCTTTGATGAAAATACTTGCATCAATTTATCTAAGAAAGCACTTGGTAGACAGTACTGGACTCTGCTATATATATATATGTGTGTGTGTGTGTGAATATTTATAATATATTTAATATAGCATTATAAGCAGTCTAATAAAGGATTTCTAATTAAGTCCTTAAAAATTCTTACCTGTGTTTCATGATTCCAAACACACACACTTCCATTGTAAAGACTCGCCAACATCCATGGCTCTGTGGGGTGTAAATCTACACTCTTCACACGGTCAGATCGAGCAGTCAGCTTTCTCTTGATATCAAGTCTCAGAGGCTAATGAGAAAAACATAACCCAGTCATGAAATCACTACGAAAAATAAAATATCTGTGAAATCTTAACTGAAACAATGGAGTAACAGGGGTACAAAAATACTTTTACTTTGCTGAACTCTAGACAGTTTCAAATCTAAAATACCTACTTCTTCACTGAAATAAAAATTTTTTAAAATGTCTTTAATCTTAACTCTATAGTGGCAGCATCAAGATTTTTGGCCTCAGAACACCATACTCCTTTTTTTTTTCTCCTTTTTGGGTCATACTGGGCCAGGGGTTACTCCTAGCTCTACACTCAGGAATTACTCCTGGCGGTGCTCAGGGGATCATATGGGATGCTGGGAATCGAACCTGGATTGGCTGTGTCCAAGGCAAATGCCCTACCTGCTGTGCTCTCGCTCCAGCCCCAGAACACCATATTCTTAAAAAATTCTGAGGCACCAGAGGGATGGTATGTGGGCAGAGAGGGCAGAACCTGGGTTTTATCCCAGCCCCACAAAAGGCCCCCGAACACTGCCAGGAGTGATTCCCGAGCAGTGTCAAAGTAAGTACTGAGCACCATTGGGTGTGAACTCAAAAGAAAAAAAAATCCAGTTTGAGCAACCAGTTTGTTTTAAACAAAGCTCACAACTTAACAGTATGCCTTAGTACTAATGTACACTTTCCACTTCATCACACCATTAATTTCAATTTTTATTTTGGTTTTGGGACTACATCCAGGGGTGCTCAGGGCTTACTCCTGGTTCTTCACTCAGGGATCACTCTGGTGGGCTCTGGGGATCTTATGGGATATTGGGGATTAAACCCAGGTCTGCTCTGGTGCAAAGCAAATGCCCAACTTGCTGTACTATCTCTCTGGAGCCCATCATATCATTTTAAAGATGTACACTCAAGTGTCAAAATGTAATAAAATTATTTATTTGTGCTGTTTTATCAGGGCGATACCTGGCAGTGCTCAAGTTTGTAAAGACATTAAGTGAAACTGGCTTTATAAAACCTGTGACCCAATAAAGAATATACAGCAGTGTCAGCACTTTGACCAACTGATACTCTGAAACCAACATTGTCACAAAGCAACACAGTGAAAAAGGCCAAGTATGTCTTTTTTTTTTTTGCTTTTTGGGTCTCACTCGGCAATGCACAGGGGCTACTCCTGGCTCATGCACTCAGGAATTACTCCTGAGTGGTGCGTGGGGGACCATATGGGATGCTGGGAATTGAACCTGGGTCAGTCGCGTGGAAGGCAAACACCCTACCCACTATGCTATCGCTCCAGCCCCTCCAAGTATGTCATTTTATTAGTGAAATAGCTGTGGACTTCCCCAACACTTCGGGAGTCCCTGTTTTATAGATTATCTGGTAACGACATGTGAAATACGTAATAAATTACAATTCTGTGCCCATATTACTAATGTCGTATCATGTACCATGGGCTGGGTTCAAGCTCTGGCACACACAAACCCAACCAAAAGAGAGAGAGAGAGAAAGACAGAGACAGAGAGACAGAGACAGAGAATATCCCAGTGTTATTCTTGAAGTCTTTGTAAGCTAACAGCAGTGCTTTGGTGCCCACGGCCTTACAGACACAAGGCCCACCTTCTACCTGTGAGCCACACCACCAAGCTCCCCAAATTTATTTTTCAGCTCTTCCATGATGATCTTGAATGTGAGAGAAATTTATGATTACTTTTCACTCGAAATGAAGACTGCCTGATTTACACATGCTAATTAGAGAGGATTTCCTGTGGCTAAGGAAACAATTACCAGGCTTTCACTTGCCTTTTATTTGTCAGATCTGGGTCACGGGCTACTTCGAAGCCTGTGCTTGCTTCTACATTCCTCACTTTCAGCAACTATTTATACCTCTCACATGAAGAGTCAGAGTTCCTGGTTCTTGTCTACACCCAACTACAAGTGTCTCCGCCATCATTATGCTTTTTTTGTCCTCTCAATGCTTCTACTTCCTATCATCTTTACAGTTGAAGCAGAACCTTTTACTTCAACATTTCAGAATCTGTCCCATTGTTTATCATGGCCAAGACTTTAAACCCCTTTTTTCTGAGAGTCAACAAAACATAAAGTATCTAAGATAAGCCTGGAATACATGGCTTTTATGACAATCAACACGTATCATATAGTTCTCTTCTAATAACTGGGCTCATAAGTTATAGACATTTCACCATTAACATAGTTTCAATTGTTGGTAACTCGATATAAGTGATGCTCTGGGACAGTGAGCCAGAGGACTGACTAATGTGTCAAAACAACTTTACATACTTCCAACATACAGATCCCAAACTCTATTATTTCTTGCAATAGTTCAGAGACTAGTTTGAATGAGACACTGCTCTAGGCAATGTCATACAAAGATGAGAGCAGTACTCATATGGCATTGCCTCCCCTCTTCCAAATGCTGTTTGCATGAGGGCTCAGTGTAAATGCTCCAGATGATCTTTCTGATTACCTGAGGCAGACAGGGCCATTCCTAGGGGATCCTCTAGACTATGATCATTCTTAGTAGCTTTGCATACTCATTTCTTCTTGCTTTCTGGGTACATGTTCCTCAAAGGTAAGGCCACCACTTCCTAGTAATGTCTATCTAAACAGTATCTTATACATTTGGGTATAAGAAGTCTCAGGACAGACAAAAGAATTAAGGTTTAGAGAATTTGGCAGGATTCAAATCTCAGTTCTACCACGCCTTTCCAATGACAGCAAATCTCTTTAACTTGTCTAACTGAGAGATACTACTATTATATATCGCCGAAATGCTATGAGAATTAAATTCTGCATTACACAGCTAGAATAGTGCCTGGGTTACACAGTCACTCCATTAAACACTATTTGTAATTCACCTTCCCAGTTATTTGGTGATTAGGAGGCAAATGCAGGGCACAAGGTAAATGACCGAGCTAAGAAAATTCATTCCAATCTTAAACAAGTGACTTTAAATGTGCTGGAGAAGGAACTACTGCACACTTTGGGGGCTGGAGACATAGTGCGCCGAGCTAGAACAGAGCACACACTTCGCATGCAGGAGGCCTGGGTTCAAGCTCCAGCTCATATACAGTTTCCGGAGTACCACTGGAAGTGACCCCAAGTCAGATCTACCCCGAGCAGCCTTTTTAACTGCCTGTGGCACCAACACCCCCCCCCCCCTTCTCCCCGCTCTCCTGTAAACAGCGACAAAGAAAAATGACATTAGGTAGATGCAAGGCCCTTCTCCAAAACTCTCCACTTCAGGACCTGGACGAAAGCAGGTGGTGGAGAATGAAGGACAAAACATAACTAAGAGGGCTGGAGCGATAGCACAGCGGGTAGGGCGTTTGCCTTGCACGCGGCCAACCTGAGTTCGAGTCCCAACATCCCACATGGTCTCCTGAGCACCGCCAGGAGTAATTCCTGAGTGCAGAGCCAGGAGTAACCACTGTGCATTGCCGGGTGTGACCCAAAATGCAAAACAAAACAAAACAACAACAAAAAAACACATAACCAAGAGACTGGGGCACTGTGTCATGACTCCTGGGGACCCAGGGACACTCACCACGAAGAGTGGCTCCCCCAAGACCTCACGGAGCACTGCCTACTTCTCTGCATTTCCCTGCCAGGCCCCTCGGCGTGCAGGGAGGCCACCTCTGCTGCAGTTCCGCCCCCGCTGCAAGGACCCTTGGCCCAAATGCATTTAGAACCGCCTGTTAAGCGAACAGTAAGATGAAGAGTTGGATTTTCTCGTCCCTGGAATCAATGAGTTCCTCTCCTTCAAAATCATTTTTGTTTAGTCAACCAAGTGTTTAAACATCAAACACTCTCCTTGGCCCCGCCCCCCGGAAGGGGAGACACTCCCACTCCGAGCTCGTTCTTCCTAACACGGCTGCAAAACGGCTCTGGGGGATGCGAGCGACCACTCTCTGCTCGCGGTCAGTGCAGCCAGCCAGGACAGCTGCGAGTGCAAGCACAGCGGCCAGTTTCCACACACCGCTCCTCAACGCTCGTCCCCACGAGGAGGCTGAGCCGGGACCCCGGCGCCTCTGAAAAGCAGCTTCGGGCTCCTTCTACTTCGCTCCGCGGCGCCTCGACCGAAACTGAAAGTTTGGGGGTCGCCAGGAACAAGCTCCACACCGGGGCAAGCTGGTGTCACCGTCCCGGGGGCTGGGCGGGCGCTCGGGGCTGCAGGGCTGTGCCCAGTTCCGCGCTTTCGGCCTCTGCTGCAGAACACGGCGGCTCCGGCCAACGCCCCCACGCAGCGGAGGAAGGAAGCCCCCTCCCCCCAAACCACCCGGGACGCCGGTGTCCCGCCGCCTCCTCCGCCCTAACCGCAAACCGGACCGGGACCCCCGAAAGGCCCGCGGCGGCCATCTCGGAGGGGGCCCCGGAAACTGAGCGCGGCCAACGGCGCCCCGCTCCCTCCGGCAGGGCCCGGACCTACCATGGCTGCGTCGGTCCAAGCCGGGGCGGCCTCACTCGCTAGCGGCGACTCGGTCCCTCCGGCACCCACCGACCCGCTGACCCGCCGACTGACTGACGTGGAACTTCCGGGAAGCGGCTCTCGCGAGATTGGGGAAACCCGGACGACGCGAGCGCTTGCGCAGACGCGACGCCGGGGGTGACGCGCCGCAAGCCCCGCCCCGGTTTCCTAGGCAACGCGGCCTGCTCAGCGGAGCGGGCGGCGCTGGATGCGGCGGGCGTGGCGGCGGCGACCTTCAGGGCCGAGGCTCTGGGGCGGCTGCGGAGAGAGGAGGCGCGGGAGCGGGAGATGGGAACGGGGGGCAGCGAGCCGCCCGGTCCCGCGGGCCGCGCCGTGGGGAGCGAGGGGCAGAGACGCCGCCTCAGGGCCCCGAGCCCCGTGCGTCCGGGCGCGGGAGGCGGGCCTGGGAGCCGGGCCTGACGGGGCGGACGGGCCGCGCCGGGGTCCGGCTGCGCGCGGGGACCCAGGCGGAGCACCCCCGAGGCGGGGCCCCCCAGGAGATGGGGCCGCGGGCGCTCAGGGGCGCCGCGCCCTGGGGAGCAGCCACGGCCTTTTCCCTGGCGAGAGTTTGGTCGGGGGCCCGGTGCCCGAGCGGGGACCCCCGTGCCCTGCCGACGGGGACGCTGGCGTCCTGGCCCGTGGCGAGCCCCCCGCGCCGCCCCCCAAGGCTGCAGCCAAATAGCCCTGGGAGGGGAGTTGAACTCCCGAAGGAGGATGGCGCCCCGGGGCTGGCGCACCCTCACCCTCTTCCACACGCACACTGTGATCTGAGGGGACATGGACTCCTTGACAGTAGTTCTGTGTATGTGGTCTAATGGGTCGTGGACTCCACATCAAGTAGTAGAGTGTGTGTGTGTGTGTGTGTGTGTGTGTGTGTGTGCGGTTTGAGGGGACATTTTGACGGGTAGTTCTGTGTGTGATCTAGAGGGTCATAGGCTCCACGTCACATAATAGTTGTGTGTGTGAGTGAATCAAGGGAGTCACGCATGGATCCATATCATGTAGTGTAGCATGTGTTTGTGATCTAATGAGTCATGGACTCTATGTCATGTAGTAGTAGTAGTAGTAGTAGTAGTAGTAGTAGTAGTAGTAGTGTGATCTGAGGGGTCCACATCAGGGAGTGTAGAGTGTTTTGGATCATGGCCTCCACATCATGTAGTATAACTCTGTGTGTGTGTGTGTGTGTGTGTGTGTGTGTGTGTGATGGTCTGAAGGGTCGTGTTTCCAGAGTCTGGTAATTTGACCTTAGTGGGAGTTTTTACTGTGAATGTGACCTTGTGAGCCTCAGTTTCCTCCTCTTAAAAACTGCATTCAGATTGGATTATTTTAAAATAAAAGGCCCTCCCGTTGATCATCGATTTGCTCGAGCGGGCCCAGTAACGTCTCCATTGGAGACTTTTGTTGTTACTGTGTCTGGCATATCGAAAACTCTCAGTAGCTTGCCGGGCTCTCCTAGAGGGGCAGAGGAATTGAACTCGGGTCGGCCATGTTGGCTGCGCGCAAGGCAGACGCCCTACCCGCTGTGCTATCGCTCTAGCCCTTTAAAATACTTTAAAATACTCTTCCCATTTCTGATGTTCTATCTTCACCCTGTTCAATAGTAGGAAGAGTGCTTCTGAAACTAGCGCAGTGAGATCTTACAAAATGTAAATGGAGATTATTAGTGGTCTTTCTCTGTGGAAAAAAAAGACCTATGGATCTGTTGAAGAAACTAATTAATGAAAATTTTACAAATAGAAACTAGACCCAATTCCCTTTCAGTAATATAGTTTTCAATAGTTTTTATTACTCCTAGATACTCTTGCATTTAAGTGAATATTTTCAAACTTGACAGTGTCAAGCAGGGCAAAATAAAATATCTCCCTTCTCAAGAAAATTGTGGGTTTTTAAATCTTCTATGGGCAGGAGCAATTGCACAGTGGGTAGCGCGTTTGCCTTGCATGAGGACAACCCGGGTGACCTGGATTCGATTTCTCCACCCCTCTCAGAGAGCCCGGTAAACTACCAAGAGTATCTCGCCCACTGGCAAGCTCCCCATGACATATTTGATATGCCAAACACAGTAACAACAAGTGTCACAATGGAGATGTTACTGGGCCCTCTCAGAAAATCAATGAACAATGGGAGGACAGTGCTACAGTGCTAAATCTTCTATACTACAATACACTTGAGAATTTACCTCGCTGATATTGAAGAGAGGAGTAAAGCCCCCCAGCCATCCCTTTCATGCCCCTTTTGACTATCTTTTCTCATTTCCCACTGCATTTAACTAGCATTAAGTTCTACAGTTATTCCCTGTAAATTCATTCTTCAACTAGAGTATTGAATTTGTACTATATGCAAAGCACTATACAAGGTGCTGCTTGAAGATTATAACCATAAACATTGTTAGACTTTGCTTAAATGAAATTTTATTTTGCGGAAATAGGATTCTCAGCTATAAGCTAATACGTAAAATAATGTTGAGATATATTTGTGTATATTCCTGTATGTGCTACTGTGGCTTAAAATAAAATCTTTTGTTTACTCCTCAGTTTAGAGGAGACTGGAAGGTTAGGAAAATAGCTCTGGGGAAGAAAAGAAATATGAACAAGCTTAGCAAATTGGTAAAGGGTTTCCCAAGAGGTTGATTGCAATTGATCAACAGATCTTAAAGTCTTACCTGGTCAATTTCTAGGATGACTTTTTACCATGCTCTTTTACTGCTAGGAGAATTCCAAGTAGAAATTCAGCATCAGTACCCATTATACACTGTTTCCTCTCTTCTCTTCATAAGAAGTTGAGGAATTGAAAATTCTATAAGTTTGTCTTTTTAAAAATATGTACATGCTGTGCTCGCTTCGGCAGCACATATACTAAAATTGGAACGATACAGAGAAGATTAGCATGGCCCCTGCACAAGGATGACACGCAAATTCGTGAAGCGTTCCATATTTTTTATTACACTGAGAACAATTATTCGCTAATATTATAAAATACTATAGCACAGCGGTAGGGCATTTGCCTTGCACGTAGCCAACATGGCCAACCCTAATTCGATTCCTCCGCCCCTCTCGGAGAGCCGGCAAGCTACTGAGAGTATCTCGCCCGATCGGTAGAGCCTGGCAAGCTACCTGTGACGTATTTGATATGCCAAACACAGTAACAACAAAGTCTGCCATGGAGACATTACTGGGCCCGCTCGAGCAAATCGATGAACAACGGGAGGACAGACAGACAGACAGACTCAAAAAAAAACTATGTACATGCTTCATCACTTAGCAAAGTAGTGAGTAGGATTGTGGGTAAAAAAGCACTGTTCCCCAAGAGGGTTACAGTCTATAAGTAGGAAGGGCTACCTATACACAAGTAAATCGATTCCAAATGGAATATTAGTCTCCTGAGAGTGAAGCAACAATAAAATATTCAGGGTAAAATAACCAGTCAAGAAGATAATGTGTTTCATAAAGGAGGTCAACTCTGGGCTGGACCTTGAAGTGAAGTGTAAGCGATATGTTTGAAGACCAGAAGAGGTTCAGTTTGCATTAAGAACTTTCATTTAGAAGAGGAGTGAAGGTGAAGGCTGAAAAGAGTGAAGCCAAAACCTAGAGATTCTTAGATAATAAGGGAAAAAATTGAGCTTTGATTCAGTAATGAAATGATTCAGAAATGATTGGGCCAGAAAATAAATGTGCTCAGTCTGTTCACCATAAGATTTAAATTTTGATATAGATGAAGAAAAGGATGGTGAGATACTTATACAAATTTGAGAGGTGTCAGCATGGAAATAGCAACAATTATCAGGTGCTCTAATAAGCTCACACTGGAACATGCACTTTGTATATTATAATTTGTATGTAGTACTAAAACAGCATTTTTTTTCAACACACAGACAAGAAACCTAGTCCCTAATGGGTTAAAAGCTCTATGAGACACTGTTGAAGAATGAGCTGTGGATCTGAGATCTGAACCCAAGCCATCTCCAAAACTAGTGTTCTTTTTGCTGAACTATAACTTTATTTTTCCCTGAGAAGTTAAAATCAACAGATACATAAGTTTGAATTTATTATGGGTTAAGGAACTTAGAGATATCCTACTGCTGTGTTTTGAAGCTAATGAACCCAAAGGAATATCTTTTTGTTAAAGGAAATGGAGCCAGAAAATGACACTGAGAAGTAAAAATATAGAGTAAAGCAGCAAGTAAGAGTTCGTTATAGAAGGAAACATTAAAAGAGATCCTGAAGGGTGCTTGGCAGTAGGCTGTAGGGAACTTAAAGATGCTTCAAAGGTAGTGCGAGGAAAATTACTGCCAATGAGTTAAATGACACCACTTTTGAAAATAACATTTTTAGGTGTGAAATGCTAGAAAAACAAGTTTTAATTGATGATAGAGAAGTGGAGGTGAGTCTAAACCAAAAGCATCGTGATGAAAAGGCAAACGTGGTTGTCTCATGAAAGTAGATTTTTTCTCATATGTGGAATGTAGTTGACATTATGCTCTTATTAGCTCTCCAAATGCAGCCAAATGGACCTTTACAGTATGAGAAGGAGCTTGGCAGACAAATGTCAAGAAGGTATAAGCAAGATAGTCTAAGGGGAGGAAAGTGAGAATTCTAATAGTAGCTGAGCATGTCTGAGACAAAAGAGAGAGGACTGAAAAATGGAACAAGAATGGAAGATAAACGAGGCTCACTTCCTGAAGATCCATAATTGCCGATTTCAGGGGTCTGGACTTTATCCTGAAGGCTCTAGGGAACCACTGGAGAATGTTAAGTAGGGTAATCTTCATGCACCATTACCGATTTACCTTTGCATGTCACTTGCTTTCCTTATTAAAGGAAATGTTAAAAGCTTTCAACTGGATTTCTACATGAAGTTCGTGAAAGTGAGTTTTGATCACAATCACAACCAACAGAGAAGCTGGTGGTTGTACTTTGAATCAAACTTTGACTGATTGCAAGCATTGATCAACTTTTTATAATTCCAATCTAAGAAGTTAACATTCATTGAAACAAAACAATTTCATGGGAGTTTGATGTGGGATTTGGGATGGGGGTCACCTCTAATCACTTGAAGACATAACAATCCAAACAACTTAT